AAACCCCAACCCCGAGGAAAACCCCCGGGGGGGCGCCGGGGCGGACCCAACGGCGGGCCCAAGGGCCGAAAACCCAAACCCGAAGGGGATAAAAAAAGGGGGGGGGGGGGGGGGGGGGGGGGGGTGTACTCATAGTCGTGCATGCCGTAGTCGTTTGACCATTGACCTCGCATCCCTACAAAGCCGGGACGGAGCACGCCGGGTTCTCACCGGACCAGGCTCTCACATCACCAAGCGCGAAGCGCCGTGAGGTATTTGGCGAGTCGCATGAAGGGTGAGCTGCATCCTGCTAAGGGTGTTCGGCATCTTGTGCTTACTTCCTTGCGTACGGATGACAGCTACGTATGACTTAGTTTATTTTCTGGTGCTTTCACTTCCACAGACAGTTGTAAGCACTGTGTAACTGCCTCGAGGAAGCTTGACCATTTTAACACAACGTGGTGCGATCATCCCCCGTTGCGCGGAGTGAGGGTTCTCGACCCCGCACAACATGATCTACTCGACCACCATTTTGGTTACCGCCAAAAAAAAAACCGAGGTAAAAAAAAAAACGGTAACCTGGTTGCCGAGTTCACGAAGTGAATTGGCTTCTTTTACAACGTCGTTGCCAAGCGACGAAAACCCGATCCCGATGGCAAACACCGAGTGGGGGGCTTGTTTTACAACGTCGTTGCCAAGCGACGAAAACCCAACCCCGATGGCAAACACCGGGGGGGGCGGCTTGTTTTACAACGTCGTTGCCAAGCGACGAAAACCCAAACCCCGATGGCAAACAAGGCCGAGGGGGTCCAGAGACAGTTGTAAGCACTGTGTAACTGCCTCGAGGATGCTTGACCATTTTAACACAACGTGGTGCGATCATCCCCCGTTGCGCGGAGTGAGGTTTCTCGACCCCGCACAACATGATCTACTCGACCACCATTATGGTTACCGCCAAAAAAACCCCGGTAACCTGGTTGCCGAGTTCACGAAGTGAATTGGCTTGTTTTACAACGTCGTTGCCAATCGACGAAAACCCAATCCCGATGGCAAACATCGAGTGGGGGGCTTGTTTTACAACGTCGTTGCCAAGCGACGAAAACCCAAACCCCGAGGGGGGGGGGGGGGGAGGGGGGGGTAAGGGCGCCCTTGCTCCCGGGGGAAAAAACGACCCCAGGAACGGGGGAGGGGAAGTTGGCGGCAATCATCGTGAACCGTGCTCTGTGTGGTTCGCCACATGCACACCAGGGAGCGGGGCGAATAGATTTGGATTCAATCGTTTTCATATCGCTGTGTTGGCCTACATCAAGTAACGCCAAGTCGGGTTTTTGTTGTTGTAACCAATGAACTGCGTTAACTGCTGTACAGTGAGATACGCTTCCCTCGCACTACTGCCGTACGCGGGGTCTTGAACCCCCCCCCCCCCCCAGTATCCACCGCCGTGCCCGGTCGCTACTCGCCTTGTTCACCTCGATTGATTTCCCTTGCTGGAGCCTCCTGTGTTTTCCTATTTTAACGAGATTTCCATTTTTTTTTTTTTCGATGTACTTGCAACGCCGGTCGTCCTGGTGGTCTAGTTGGTATCCTCGAAACCTTCTAGAGGTCAGGTCAGGGGTTCGAATCCCGGCGTAAGTGAGCTTTTCTTGCAAAGTGAGCTTTTCTCTCGCTTCCGCTCCTGGCCTAATGGATAGCGCTAGTTCGTGTGTACACAGAGGGAAGAGAGTGCTGAACTCTTCTCGCATTCAAAATCGAAGGCAAAGTACCGCAGGAGGGGAGAGTAGAGAGGGGCTCTTCTGTGTGACCACGGGTCGGAGTAAACGGCACTAGTGCTGTGGGCGCTGATTTGAAGTGAAGACCAAAAAAAAAATTGTTCACCTCGATTTCGCCTGCTGGAGCCTGCCGTGTTGATCTATTTTAACACTTGTTTGTTTACTTATTTATGTACGATCTACTCGCGTTGGATTTCGCATGCTGGAGCCTGTCGTGTTTTTATCTTTTTTATCGAGACTTAACGTTTTTTCTTCGTTGGTCAGGTGCTAGCTAACGTGGCCGTGGCCCTGGCGGCGATGGGCATCGGAGCCCTTGGCCTGGCCCTCGACCTCTCCAACATTCTGGGGGGATCGATGGTGCTGATCTTCGCCCTCTTCAGCCGCTTCTTGCTCAACGGGAGTCGCATTCCCGATCGTAAGATGGCGATGCCTTATGCACAGAACGCGCCCGTACTTCGGAAAACCTCTTTTACTAGCTTCGGCCGAGGCTGGGGTTTTTACTGTATTCCTAGGGTCATGCTATAATACGAATGGTGGCTATATAGGTTTTAGTATGGGGGTCCTTAGCCGAGCTCACAAGTGGTGCTCAATTGCTTAGATTTTTGAGTTTTTTTTAGGCTAAGTTGTTACGTGCGGGCGCGTTTCATGGCGAAGGTGCTCCCAGTATCCTACGCAGGTTTTTATTGAGCAAACATACTATTTTTGATGAAGTATGGAATCGGTAAGTCTCGGGGGGTTCGGGTACGGACAGGGTTTACGTACCCCCTGCCTCTCTGTTTCATATGTAAACGTCATTTCTTCGAGTAGGCGGCCAGCCCCTCACGCCGCCAGAGCTCTATTGTGTGTCGCCCGCGCATGAAAATCAGTAGCCTTCGAAGGGTTTTTTCGTATCATGTACCACATGTTGGATAAAGCATGCAATCGGGGAAGTTGGGTTAGGGTTAGGGTTAGGGAATGCGGTCTGCGTAACCTCCTCCCTGTTCTATTTCCTCATTAACTTATTCATCGCGCGAAGGTGGTCCAAGAAAGTGCGGTGCATTCCCCACAGCCCGGCGATCGTGTCTGTTGAGAGAGCATCGACTTCCCTCCCGAAGATGCGAGGTCAATGGTCTAATGACCACGACATGCACTTATATGAGTTCCCATACACCCCCGCCGCCACCCTAGGTCCACGGCCTAATGACTACGACATGCGTTTACATGAGTTCCCCTAACCCCGCCCCCCTCCCCCCTGTGGTTTTGTGTGCCCCCCCGGTTTGGTTCGCCTTGTGTGTGCTGCGCAGGTTGGCAGTGGCTGAGCAAGGTGACCCCCCTGGGGCACGCGTACGAGTCGCTTCTGGTGAACGAGTTCAACGATCCCTTTGGCGCGAGACAGTACACCATCGTGGCCGAGGTATGTATGCATAGGTCTGCATAGGTCTTATGTGTTTGGGGTGGGTACCAAAAGCCTTGTACACACGGGAAACCGGAAGAGTAGTGTTCTTGTGCGGCGCCTGCCGGCTGTGTTCGCGGGTTTTCTCTCTCTCGTCGTGTGCTGCTTGTTGAAAGTTGTGCCCTGTTGTCGTCTTCAGCTGCGCCCCGTTGTCGTCTTCAGCTGCGCCCTGTTGTCGTCTTCAGCTGCCTGCGACCTCCTGTTGGGAGGCCTCCCCCGCCGTGTTGTTCGTCGTGGGGTGTTGGAGCTTCCCCGCCTTTTTTTTTTTTTTTTAATCCCGAGACTATGTTGCGTTTGTTTTTTTTTGTGTCGAATACTAGGGCTCCTCGTTTGATGTGCCCCCCCTTGTGCCCGCCTTTTCCAGGCTATTCATGTGATACTCATGACCCACCCCCCTCGCTCCCACTTTTGGTTAGATGCACGGCGAATGGTCCGAAGGCTAACCCCCCCCCCCCCCGTTGGCGGGATGTACCGGCGCCCCCCCCAAAAAAGCTCCCCAAAAGTGGCCGAAAATACCCCCCTGGGAACCAACAACCCCCAAAACCTTAAATTTGAACCGTCCCCCTCCAAAAAGGGGGAAGGGGGGGGGAAGCCCTCGGGGAAAACGCCGGGCTTTTGGGGGGTGAGCTTTTTTGTTTTTTAAGGTTTCACAAGGGGAAGGGTTTTTTTTTTTTTTTGTTTTTTGGCGAATTTTTTTAAACTGAACCCCCCTGTTTTCGGGGGAGGTGGGGGGCGAAATTG